GACGACGTTGAGATATCATCATCGAACCGACCGGCCCTAGGTAATTCAGAATTACTGTAGTAAGTATTTCACTCATCTGCTTCCAGTGGAGTCCGAACTCGGGTCTGTATTTCAACAGTTCAGGGGTGTACCAACCGAGCTAGGCCAGTTGGTAGGTTTGTGTTTGTTCCCAAATCCCTCTTCTTTTTTGGATGGATTTTTCCTTGCAGTTCGTGGCGAGTTATCTCCAGAGGAGAGGGTGTCTGCTGCTCAGATGGGGGCCTTCTTCGGGGGAATGACGCTGAGGGCCTTGTCGTTTCCTTCGGCAACCCAGTGGAGTCAGGGGGAGCGTGCAGCTATGGCCGAATTTTGGCCTTATCTGAAGCAAGAGCTCCCTAACGATGTTCTATTTTTAGCAGATCCAGAAGGTTCCCTTTGTGAGGGGGGCCGGTCATCACCTCTTGGGCCCAATTACCGCGAGGGAAATCCAAGGGGAATTGCAGTGGCAGAACTTGCAGAGATGAGGGTGGTAAAGGTGCTAAGGAGGGTCTTGAGAGGTGAGCACCTTGGGTTCGCTGAGACCAAGGAGGTTTTGAAGGAGTTGTTTCCGTCCGTGCCCATGCCCGCGATAATGGCGAGCATGCAAGGGAAATGCAGGGACATGGAGATAAAGGTGGGTCGAGACGGTGGGCAAGGCGTGGGTGTGAGAAGGGAGGCGGGGAGGCAACATGAAGGCAGAGAGGAGGCTTCAGATGCCCTGGTTGCTGCGCTGCTTATTTGCCAGCGGATGAGCAGAGAGTCGGATGAGGAGTTGATGGCTTACTGCTCAGCGTTTGATGATGATACAGGTGTGTGCACCATCTTGCAATGAACCCACTCTTGAGAAGCTCACAACTTCCACACCATGCATGAACTCAGCGAACACGATGTATGTCGTCCACATGAAGTAGCAAGAAGACTAAAAATTTAAAAAATAGACAAAGGTGGAGAAGAAATGGAGAGGTGGAGAAAAGCTTTCAAATTTCAATAGTRAYCAGTACTATCACTGAATACAAACTTCATGACTCTTCCACACCCCCTTTCAACCTTCAACCTCCAGGCTTCACTCTCTCTGCTCGCCACGTCAATCGTCCAACCTCACCCTCTACAGATGATGATGTAGCCATATGTCTGTCTCTCAGTAGCAACTCGCCAAGATAGCACTGTCAGTCTTCTGAGCAACAGTGCTATCCTGGCGAGTTGCTACTGAGAGACATATGGCTACATCATCATCTGTAGAGGGTGAGGTTGGACGATTGACGTGGCGAGCAGAGAGAGTGAAGCCTGGAGGTTGAAGGTTGAAAGGGGGTGTGGAAGAGTCATGAAGTTTGTATTCAGTGATAGTACTG